TTTAAACTTTGTAAAACAAGCTATATAATAAAATAATTTAAGGACTCCCGTCATTTAATTTTTCCCTTTTAGTCCTTTATGTGACAAAAAATAACACAAAAAAATAATATCTGCTTTAAATTTAAAGTTCAAAGTGTGCACGACTTTTTTTCTTTTGTTATGCCTTTAATAAATTTTCGGTTAAAATGAAATTCCCATATTTAAATATACAGAAAATATCCAACTAAAACAAATAAGAACATTTCATGTGTGCCTATGTAATATATGTATTTCATACACACATTTACACCCACGTTACCAAATAATAATAAAATCAAAAAAACACAAAATGAAAACAGCAAAACAGCCTATATAACAGTTTTTTGTTATATTTCCTGTTAAAGTAAATATTATGCAAGTATCAGCAGGAAAATGAAAAACTAAGAGCAGCAAAAAAGAAAACTAGTTTTGTTTTTATTTTTATTTAAGACAAAACAAAAACAAAGGTCATTTAAATTACCTTGATCCTTGAATAATAATGTTTTTGCATTTATTTTTTTTTTCCTATTCTGGTCATTTATGTCAGAAATATGACTGTTACAATTAAAAGAGAGAAATCACTTAAAGTTGTATCCTTTTTAAAAAGGATAATATGAAGTCCTTGAAATTTTGCTTTTGTTTTTCTTTTTCCTTATGGTTTTGTTGTTTTTCCTCTTTTGTTTATTATTTTTCTCTTTGCCTTATAATTCTGTGATTTTGATATTATCTGCTAGACAAGTTTTAGAAACTATAACTTATTCTTTTTTTAGTCTTTAAAAAACATTGGACAAGGTGATAAAGTTAATAATCCTTAAGATTATAGAAAAAGAGAAATTAAAATGAAAGTTATTCTTTTATAAAATTAATATAATAATATTGGTTTCACATTTCTGTTATGAAAAACAGGAATAATTTTTCAATAGTAATTCCTGTAGCTTTTAGATTTGTTCCTAATTTTAAGTAATTGCGAAGATTCGTGTGTGGATTTCAGAAGGGAAGTTTAATACGATATCAATTATGTGTCAACATACACCACCAAGAGTATCAATTATGTGAGTACACTACCAAGAGTGTCACATGTACTATTAAAAATTTAGAAATTAATAAATTGTTATACACACCTATACTTTATATAGTGGATATAATTAAATTTTTCCGAAACTAGGCGACATTTACGATCGCATTTTTGGCATTTTATTGCTCAAAATCAAATTATGAGCTATTGATCTCTAGCTATTTCTCTTAATCTGCTGTCTCAACTTAATTTTCAAATCGAGTGAGCTTAATAAATTTCGAATTTGACATAGATTCCTAATAATTGCATGCAATTTTATAATTTAAATGAGCAAAATCGAATTATTGTTACCTACTTAAATTTTGTTCATTTATTTCACTACTGAACTCAAAAAATATTTGTTCAATCTAAAACAGTTTAGAAAACGTATACAAATTTTTTATCAAAACTGTTATATAACCTTGAATTATTTTTAATCTGAATGAATATTTATTTGATTTGAAGGAATCTTTTATGAGCCATAAGAAGATTTTGAACCAAGCCTGTTCGATTACACAATAAAAGCCAAAGTATATTATATAAATTTATAACAGTCTTTGGTATCTAGAAAACCAAAGTTTCAGGAAAGAAACCTTTTTATAATATAATTGACTTTTATTTTAATTTCAACACTAAAATATTTTAAAAAATAAATTTGTTTTAATAATTTTTTAATTCTTTCATATTTTAAATTGCATACTTTGAAATTTTCATTTAATTTATAAAATTTAATTAAAACTCATATTTTTGTACTCAATTGTAATACAAAAAAATAAAAAATTTATATCAACAAATTTAAATTTAAAATTAAATTTCGGAAAAAATAAAATTTAAATTTCTAAAAATAAATATTACTCCCAACACATTTCTCATAACATTGAGCATTATTGAGCTATAACAAATTGCTCAAAAAAATTTCAACTGAAAAGAAAAAAGAAAAATGTTTGCATAAATTTTCGCGTACTCAACATATAAAAATTCATAAATTCATAAATAAATTTATCACAACCATCAGCGAAATGGGGCAGAGATAATTTGGAATATCTACATTTCATACAAATATGCGGAAAATAATAAATTTAATAATTTCATTTCTACAATTTTATTAAATTTTCAATTAAATAAATTGGTTTTTTAAGAATTTTTCTTTTGTTCAAAAAAATTTTCATTTCAATTTATAAATATTAATTATCATCACCTTTAAAAAGAACTGATAAAATATTCATATATGTACGTATATATGTACATAAATATGTACAAATAAATTTATAAATAAAACAATACGACTACACATATTTTTTCACCTGAATCGCTAAAATATTATAAATTAGTATGAAGTTAAAATTGAACTGACGAAGATAATTAAGGATGTCAGGATATTGTGTGAAAATATTTTTGCAGAATTATTCAGCTGTTTCATTAAATTAATTATCCATTTATAACACTCAGTAGTAAAACAAAAATTTTACTAATTAGTAACATAATGACGTTAAAATTCAGTCGCTTGATATTCAGTTATTTGATAAGGTCTGGTAAATATTATAAATTATAATCATAAATAAAATAAAGAGAAAAATTAAAATTTTCTTAAAACTACACTAAATATTAATTTAAATTAGATTGTTGTACTAAGTCTCGTAAATTGTTGCTGGGTGTCAAATTAAACCAAAATATTCAAAATCTTATAAAAACACACGCTGTTATACGAAGAAACATACGAAAGATTAAATGTGATTATCGTCACAACATCTCTCTCTCACATAACTTAATTGAAATTTCTTGAATTGAGTGTTAAATATCCTAAATTGAGTGTTAAGTTGCTGTTATTCTCAACTTAATGTTTTTGTATTAAAATTATACATAAATTTCTCTAACAACATCAGAAACTTCAAACAAATTTTGAAGCTAATTAAGAGCAAATAAGAGAATTATTTTAATATCTGAGAGTTCGGTTGCTTTGCTACTTCATATTCTCTCATATTTCATACTAAAATTTTTTCTCAGTTTTATTTATTTTTTTTTTCGTTTCTGTTATGTAATGTTTCTTAAATTTTCATATTTAAAATTTAAGTAAATATAAAATATTAACAAACAATTAAATATTAAGGCAGAGAGAGAGGGAGAGAGAGAAAGAGAAAAAATAAAACAAAAATCAATAGAAAATAAAAATTTAAAAAAAAAAAAGAGAATAAGGAATGCATGCAAAAGTTAAAAAATATGAGTAAGTTACCTGCGAACCAAATTTCATTTCATTTGTTCTGTTCATACCAGTAATTGTCATCACTTTTACATTTTTATTCTTATTTTCATTATTTTTATGTCAACACAAAATTAATTTATTTTAAAAATTTCATCAAATAATATTGTTCTTATATACCGTACGAAGAATAACCGTAAAAATATGTAAATTCATATATATCGTCCCAAAATACACATGTAGCTACATAATGTATTTTGTATAAGTTTGGATTTTATTCACATTTTCTCAGTTATTGTATATGAGAGGAACAAATTCGTCGGAAATGCGAATTTGTTTTTGCTTTTTGTTTTTGTTTTCATTTATTTTAATAATATTATTTTGTTCATTCTTTATTTAATAAAATAACACAGCAGTTTCATCATATACTGCAAAAAAACTTTTTAAATAAAATTTTGCAAAAATTTTTTAAAAGGAATTTCGTTTTTTTTTTTTTTTTTGCAAATTGAATTGGCTTTAAAAAATGTGTGTATGCGAGTGTTTTACTGAAAAATAAATTATTGGTTGCTTTAATATAAAAGTGCAGAAACAAAAATATTTTAGTTAAAATATAATTTTTTTTTATGTTTTCTATAAGGATGAAATTTAAATTTTCTCTTATTTAGATTAATTAATTATGCTTTCAATTTGAAATGCAAGAGAAATTTTGCTTAAATAGAAAATTCTGCAGCTATGTAGAATTAAAAGTAAATTTTAAGGTTCATTAAGTAAATACTATATTTCTTCATACCCTTACAGTTTATTAAAGATTCGTGTAAAATACAAAATTTATTGGATTCAAATGATTGGAATCCAAATTTCAGATTTTGTTTTTCTGCTCAATTCTATAATTAATACTTGCTTTATTTGTATAGTCATTAATTCAAGCTAGATCTTGGTACAACCGTGAATTTGGAATCAGACGTAGATCAGAAAGCCGTCCATTTTTTTCCATTAATTCCAACAACGGTAAACGCCCCTAATTTTATTCCGAGTTTTAGTGAAATCGTAAAGCTTGTCTGTTTTAAAGATATCTACTCCCGAACCCCCTTATATTAAATTTTACTATTTCTGAAAAATAACTGCAGCATGATCTTGTCCTTCAAATAATTTAATGGGAATGGGTTTTCACAATGAAAATAATTTTAAATATTAATGTAAATAAAGTGATGATAGCTCGGCCATTGCTCGTAAATTGTAAATATATAAAATATTTAAAGAATAAATACTAATGAACAAAGGGTGTGCTGTTAAAGGCTGTAATATACAATGTATAGGTAGTCGGATTTTAAATTTTATTAATAAGTTAAGATTATTTATACAGAGTTAAATTACAACCAATAAATCTCAATTGTTTTAGTGTAAATGTAAATTTTTTGTAAATATTCTATAAAATTAAATATTATTTATTCTTATTATAAAATAATTTTTATAATTTTACTTACTATTCTAATAATTTAAATTTTATTTTATTTTTGATTTAAAATTAATATAATTTTTGTTCAGTTTTTTTAAAACTTATTAAATATAATTAAATTTTAAATTTATATTAGAGAAAATTAAACATATAGCAACACAATGAAAATAATAAAAAGAATAAAAATTCTTGTTTCAATCTACTTTCCCTTTTTAACCCCAAAAAAAAAAATAAAAAATTTAATCTCCTTAAAATAAAAACACAAAAACACTTAGTGTTACCGTTTCATCATCAAAATCATTTATGAAAGTAAATTCACGTCAAGAAATAGGAAAAATAGTATTACAACAATTTAAAAAAATTGATCGTTTGGATTCATTACGTGGTTCAACATCAGAAACATTAACAAGTGAAACATTTGGACCACTATCAAATGTCAGGTAAGTAAATATAAATATAATATTGTAGTATAGATGAGGTATTTGTATAGAAATATTACAGTATAGAAAATTAATTATACATTTAGAATAAAATTTTATTTAATTAAAATTACAAATTTTACATAAATAATGCAAAAATATCATTTATATACAAAAGAAGAATTAAATTTATTTTCTAATTTTAATTAGAAAGCGAAAAATTTATAAGAAATCCCTAAGTACTTAAGAATAAAATAAATGTTTACCGAATTCACAAAGCAAAAAAAATCGTTATCCTGAAAGTATGCAATTTTTTAATATTAATGTAAAATTGTTATTATTTCAAATTTTATTAAGAAAACACAAGCTAGTGCTATTAATATTAGCGAATACAAGCTATTTTTTTTCATAAATTGGAACTTTTCTTTACAATGAAGTCTTTTTGGACTATCACTTGTAATATTAGCCCTTTTTGTACATTATACATTTATCTTAAATCTAATTGAATAATTATAGCAAACATATAATTTATTGAACATTGTATAAGTGTGCGAGCATCTAGTATACTATATCTTAAAAGCTAAATTAATTAAATCTAAATTAATATGAAACAGAAAATTGTGTATATGTGCTATAAATTTATTCAGATTTGCAAAATTTCAGATTAATTTAATATTTTACTATTAAATTTTATTACAATATTTATAATGAAATATTTCTCCAATAAACATTATAATTGAAATTAATGAACCAATTATATAACTGTATAATATTATTTTTATATCCTCAATTGTAAATGGACGATCAGTATTTTTAACTGAAAATAAATTTCGACTATTTTTATTAATTGCTGCCATCTCTTTTTTTCTGCTCAAAATTTTATTATCCTGTGCATACCAAAAATTATAAAATCCTACAAAAAGAAAATAAAATACAAAAATTAATGAAAAAGGAAATGGTTTACGAACATTTTAAAATATATGTAATTTTGGATTGAATTGGAGAGCTATAAGCATATCTTTGTGTCTAATCTAGCAAAATTGTACAATAACAAATTTATATTAATCTAACAATAATAATAATAATAGCAAGAGCTGCCAATAATAATGTTGAGCTATCGACCTGCTAATAATAATAATAATGTGACTACATACGACATCATGTAGGGCAGAATTTTAGGCTCCGTTTTACTCTAAACTGCTATCTGTAACAAGTTCAAGGAGAAACTCGTTTGGAAAAATTCATTCTGGAAATTTTGAAAATTTAATTGAGTTGATCTAGATTATACAGTTTTTTAACTAAATGAATTTAAATCGCATTTATGTTCTAGGTTCTATTTCCAGATTCAAATTCAGATTTCAGACTCCGAACTCAAAAGTTATTTAGAAAAAATAACCACCTCTATATATGTGTGTTTTTATATTTTCATGTCTATAGCTTAATTTTTAGCTCACTTTGAGCTTACGAAAAGAAAATTTTGCACCATACCTATCATTAATGCAAAAACATATAAATTGTGGAGTACACTAATAAACAATTGACCGAATTTCAGGAATACAACTTACCAAAATCTTAAAATATATAAAAATTTATAGTTACTTACCACCTTCATAAAATGCTGCCATTACCCAATTAAATGTATCAATGAGTGGCCAACCTTTTCGTACAAATAATGATGAATGAAATACACATATACATTCATCGACAAGATGTAATAGTTCTGTACCATCTGGTAAAATATAATCTAATTTAATAACTTCAAAATCTGAACGTTTATCCATAAAACATGTTTTACGATATATAGCTGTTATTGATTTATTAAAATTGGGATCAATAGCTAAATTTTTAGCTAATTTACTTAATGTATCATTATCTTGATCATTTTTAAATGCTGGCTTTAAACTTGATGTTGTTAATATAATTTTTAGACCAGATTTTTTAACTTCTTTTAATGTATGAATATCTTTACCATATGTTGTTGTACTAAATGATGTTGTTAATGAACTTTCATATATACCTTTAATAATTAAACTAAATATTAAAAGTCCAATTATAAAACATTTTTCAGAATTTTGTTTAAATTTTAATCCGGCAACAGTACCATTTGTCATTATTATTAAAACATCATTAAATGTTTGAAAAAAATTATTATGATCAATTATTTGATTATTTGAAATAAATGTTGTTGTTTTAGTTGATTTTATTGTTATAATCCAATATTTATATAATTGCCATGTTATAACATAAAATATAAATATTATACCAATTAATGACCATGTTAATGGTTGAAAACATTTAAAATATGCTAAATATTGTGGTATCCTTTGAGCTTTCGGTACAATTATACATAATTGATCTGTTGCTATTGGATATAAAAATTCAATACGATCAGTTTTTAAATCCATTATAAAACGTGAATTAGCAACAATTGTTGATTTTCCATATAAAATATCACCGACAGTACCATCAAAAATTCCAGTTTTAAATTTTTGTCCATAACGATTTTCTTTATTTATTTCATTCATAATTGGTGTAAAATTTAATGCTTTTATTAAATTACCAAATAGGATACCATCAAAACCTCCAACTGAAAAAAAAAAACAAATTAAAAATAATTTAAAAATTGTTTTCAAAGAATGAAAAATTCAAAATTCTTGTGCAATTCAACTTACATATACAATATTTACTAGCTTCACCAAATTTACTGTTCAGGAAACCAATTGGAAATTCATTCCATGGTATTGCAGTTGGATCACGATAAAAATAAGTAACTTTAAGTTTATAACCATTTAAATTTTTAATTCTCTCATTTGTAATTAATTTTTTATAATTACTTGGATTTAATTTTTGAACACGAAGATGATCTAAATTGTAATCGCTATCGGATCCTTGTAATGGATTATAAGTCATCACAATCTAAAATATGATAATAAATTTTGATATAATTAGTATCTGAGAAGAATTTTCACTTAATTGAACAAAAATATTTATTATAATTATTAAGAATAGAAATTTCAGAAGATAAATATACAGGTTTTCCACTTAAAATAGAATAAATAGAAAAAATTTAGGTGCGAGAGATAGTATTTCCAAATAAAATTAAAAATACTATTACAAAATTTTTATCTTAAGAAAATTCTGGCTGAATTCATGAATTTTCCTTTAAATATTTAATTCTATAGTTCAATACGCATTGAACATAATTGCTTCTGTTGAATATTGCTATAGGATAATTGACCAATTGAGAACTATTTACTTAAACTTACAATTTAAGCAAATTAAATGCAGTTCAGACTTTAAGAATTCTTAGCCAAAATTCAACGAAAATATTATATTTTAATTCGCTCCTGCAAGGAGCACAGGCCTGGTACATGATACCGTAGATAATCATGAACCCGTTTCTTGTGTCATTGTGTTTACTAGGTAAGTGAGGAACCTGTCGTAAACAATAATATTAAATAAGAATTAAATCTCTAAATATATAGTTATTATTATAATTTATAGTAACAATAAAGCCAATAAATTATACCTACCATATCATTATAATAGAGCAAAGCAACATTTAATATACCATAATAATTCCACATTTTAGATAATAACAAATATCCTTTTAATTGCCAATTATTATTAATATTTTTTATTGAATTAATAAAATTGCTATTATTATTTTTATTAATATTTAAATTTGAATTAAATTCAATATGTTTATTTAATTTATATTTTAATAATAATTTCGAAATAATATTAAAATTATTTTTATTAAATTCATTAATATTTAAATTCATATCTAAATTAATAATTAAATATTTACGTTTTGGTGTATGAAATGGTTGTCTTGGAAAACCATATAAATATTTATTTAATAAATTTAAATTATCAATTATAACAATTATACCATAATTACTTTCATCATATATTTTTGATATATTACGAAACCATAAATATTTTTTACAATTATTTGTTAAAATTTTATCTTCAATATTAAAATAACATTTACAATTATCATTATTACTATTATTTACAGTTGTTGTTGCTGTTGTTATATTAGTTGATAATAATGATGAAAAATTTAATTGTGTTGATCTTATTGGATATTGTTTACCAGACCATGAATACATTTCACTTATATCTTCTAAAATATCTTCATATTTTAAATTAAAATATTGTAATATTATTGGTATATTATTAATATAACATTTATTATCATTATTAAAATTTTCATGTAATATTTTTAATAAATTTTCAATAAATTCATGTAAATTTATATTTAATTTTGAATAAAATTTTAATTTATTTTTTGTTAATATTACAAATTTTAAATAACGTATATTATTAGTGTTACAACTATCTGAATTATTATTAATATTAAAATATGATTTAATAAATTCAATATTTAAATTATTTAATTTAAATTCATTTGTATTGAAATTAAATGAATAAATTTCAAATGAATTTAAAGTAATAATAATTAATAAAAATAATAATAAATGTGATTTTAACATTTTCTTTAAAATAAAATTTAAAATTTTTTAATATAACAATAAAATTTAATGAAAATTTGGAAATTATTCGAGACACTATATATTATGATTTAATTGAATTACCACAAAATCTGTTCTGCCGAGGATATTTATAAGAACTCCTCTATAATAAAATATGTATGCATGTATATATAGAAAATATTCATTAAGAAAAAAAAATATAAGGTTTATTTAATTCAAATGATTTGTTATCCTTAAAATATATTCTTAGTCTCCTTTATAAGTATCTCTGCCAAAATAACATATGTAAATGGAGTATTTATACAAAATCCAGTATTATTATAATCATAGTTTATATACATATAGGCAGTATATAAACTAAACAAAAAATTATATTCAAAATCTATTCTCTTCAATTCAATAAAATGATTGACGCATAAAAAAAATCTTGTTATGATTAAAAGGATTCAAAAAAATTTTTTATAAAAAATATACAATAAATTTTGGATTTCCGAAAATAATGTCACACAAAATTGAATTGTGATATTAACTGTTAAAAAGTGTTTCACTTGATATTATTTCCCATATATCTTGTCTCAAATGATATTATGGGAATTGTTACTGTGATTGTATTATCACTCATCAAAATTAGAAATGGAAACTCGTTTTTCGTTAGTTAGCATATTTCAAATAACTGGTATAATAGGCAAAAGCTTATTTAAATTGTGTTTTTGTGATTGTATGTTTTAAAAATGACCATTATATGTATCGATCATATTTAAAAAATATTCATAGTAATCATGACGGTAACTGTATACATTGCTATACAACAATTTGCTGAACAATTGGTGAACAATTTGATGGCAATTTTTTCACACCTGTGTATATTGTCAATTGTATAAAAGTATAAAAGAATTTGTATTACCCTATCAGCAGCTCTAAGTCGCATTTTAATCTGATGCACTTAAAAAAATTTTTAAAATCAAGTAAAAACTGCAATGAAACCTTTGGACGCACATCAGACTAAATCAAATGTGATTATCTGTGAACGGAATGTGCGGATAATTGGAATAGACTTTTGAAAATACAACCTTAGTAATTGCAACAGTCTTTAACTATTTCATATTTCCTACCGATAATAATAATCACTGATTTATGGCATAGTTTTATTCTTAAAATTGGAATTTGGAAAACAATATAGAAAATATGACATTATTTTCTAAAATCCTCACTATTATACACCCCCATAACAAAAAAATCACTACAATACCAATATATTTCCCAAAAAAATATTCAACAATAATGTATTGAAGAACTTAAAATGTCAAATATCATAAGTATATAACGAGATAGGAAAAATATTGTGATGACACCATAAATAAATATTTCGGGTATATAATATGAAGATAAAATAATTCCTTACCTAAAAGAGAAGAAAAAACCACTTAATAATTAAACTTGAAATATCCTTTAAAAACTACTACATAAATATATTATAAATAAATGTCCTTAACTATTATTCAAAGGACATTGCACACTATATACATATATATATATATATATATATATTATAAACAAAAATTTTACCATTATTTGCTATAACGTTATTGTAATGGTTATAATTAAAATTTTGCCTAAAGTATTTTTAATTGGTTTTTTTTTCACATTTAAAATTTCCCACATATTTAACATCAAAATGAATGAATCATTTATATGCTATTTATATATGTATAATTATTATATGCTTACTTAATATTACTTAAAATTACAAGTCAATATAAAGTAATTTTATTTGGACAACTGTGAAATTTCCCAAAATAAAATACGCAAAAAAAAAACATGCATACAATTTGTATAGAAATATTTTGAGATTTACAATTTTGAGAAGAGGTTATCATGTGGAGCTCTATAAGTAAATATTTTATATTAAACCCAAATGTAATAAGAGCTATGAAATCAGAAGATATTTTAAATGTAAGGGTAGTAGTTAACGTTAGTTCTTACCATAGGTAAAATGCAAATTATATAACAAAGATTTTCAAAGCTAATATTGACACAAAGTCAATACCTTCTCATATTTCTAGCCAAAGTCCGAAATTCACTACCCATGTCCAAAATACTTAAAATTAAAGCATCTGTAAAATCGATACTATTACATGTTTATGCGGCATAAATCACAGTATAGTAGTATAACAGTATTTATCAGAAGTATCTATGAGAAAGTGTGGGCTCTGCGCGAGTCGCAAGCAAAGAACAAATTCATTGCTCTAAAAGCACAACATTATGTCAAACCTACATTCAAATAAATAATTTTTATATTTCAAACATATTCAAACTTAAACTAGAGTACTGTACGTGTATAATATTTGACCATTTTCATTTAAATACATACACTTCTAAACGAAACAACAATTTTAGAATAATTTTCGATGGAAACTGTTTAAATAGTCATGTTCCCATCTATACAATAGCAAAAGAAATACCAGTCCATTTAATATACAAATATAAAGTCCTTAGAGGAAATATGTGTTTTATTTACTATGAAATTGTCCAGTCATAGCTCTATAACCAGGATAATTGGTTTACCACAACAAAATTTTCATTTTCTTCTCTCTCTCATTTAATTTTATCATTGAAATGTGCTCTTCTGTATATATATAGTTAAGAGCATAATATAATTATTATAAGTTTGAGTACAGTAAATATTGATGATGTTATTCGGAAGAAGACATTCAACAAAATGTTTACACTATGTATTATACAACAGTATGAAAATAAATTTGGTTTGGATTCATACATATATGTGTATATGAGTTTCATATAGGACTGTAGGTGTTATAACAGTTTAAGGGTGTCAATGTAAAAATTAAAGTAATTTTGAAAAAATTTTTGTTTGGAATTTAAACTATAAAAGGCTGTTATACACTTAATAATTAACTATTCTGGTTGTATGTTTGAGCATAAACGTGGTTGAATGCATGTTCCAAATTGTGTATGAAAGTGTGTGATCAAAATTCCGTGTACTCTTTTTGAAATATTATTGTTACTCTAAATTTTTAGTTCGCAATTGAATTCCAATTATCCAATTAAATTTTTTTGAATATAGGGTAAATTTAAATCTTAAAAGACCACGAACGATAATTCATTAAATGGGCTTACACGCCTACAAGTTTTAACACATGCATAATTATTATTGTTGTTTGAAACATTATTTGAAAGTTTGCTGTTTACATGAATGGCATGAATTGGTAAAATTTTGAAAATTTGTTAGTTAACCTCTTCCAAGAACCGTACTTATTACCCTTTTGGTCATGTTTTTGCAGGATATTTTGCTTCTTTTATCATTAAAAATTATTAATAAATTTTAATTTTAATTCCTTTAGATTTGCCGTATTTGCATTAGGTTCATCAGCATATCCAAATTTTTGTGCATTTGGTAAATTTATTGATAATATATTGGGTGAATTAGGTGGAGAACGTTTATTAAAATTATCATTTGGTGATGAGATGTGTGGTCAAGAGCAATCATTTAGAAAATGGGCACCAGAAGTATTTAGAGCTGCCTGTGAAACATTCTGTTTAGATCCTGATGAAAATTTATCTGATGCATCATTACAAGGTGAAATCTTAACAACAAATACTGTCCGTTTTGTACCTGTTAAAGAACGTAAACCACTTGAACAATTATTAACAAAATATCATAATAAAAAAGTATCAAAATATCATATTAAACGTAGACCAATTAATTTACATGGTGATTGTATTGATAATACACAAAATCGTGCAACAATATTAGTTGAAATTTTAGCCCCAGGAGTTAAATATGAACCAGGAGATCATGTCGGAATATATCCAGCAAATCGTAAAGAAATTGTTGATGGTTTAATAAAACGTATCACAGATATTGAAAATCCAGATGAAATTGTTGAATTACAAATATTACGTGAAAAACAAACATCAAGTGGTATATTTAAAAATTGGGAACCACATGAAAAAATTCCACCAAATTCAATAAGAGAATTATTATCGAGATTTTTTGATATTACAACACCACCATCAAGACAATTATTAACAATGCTTGGTACATTTTGTGATGATAAAAATGATCAAGACCGTATTAATATACTTGTTAATGAATCATCTGCATATGAAGATTGGCGTCATTGGAAGCTTCCAACATTATTAGATGTACTTGAAGAATTTCCATCATGTAAAATTCCAATATCATTATTATTACCACATTTAACACCACTACAGCCACGTTTCTATTCAATATCATCATCATTAAGAAAATATCGTAATGAAATTCATTTAACTGTTGGTGTTGTAAAATATCGTTCTGAAGATGGTGAAGGCGCTGAACATTATGGTGTCTGTTCAAATTATTTAGATTGTATGCAAGATAATGATTCAATATATTTATTTGTAAGAAGTGCACCTAGTTTTCATTTACCAAATGATTTAAGACCAGCAATATTAATTGGTCCTGGTACTGGTATTGCACCATTTAGATCATTTTGGCAAGAATTAGAAATAAGAAAATCTGAGAATACAGATTCAGAAATGCCTAAAATTTGGTTATTCTTCGGCTGTCGTTTACGTAGTTTAGATTTATATAGAGAAGAAAAAGAAGAAATGAAATCACTTGGTGTATTAAATAGAGTCTTTTTAGCATTATCTAGAGAAGCTGATGTTCCAAAAGTAAGATTTTGCATTTTAATAAATTAATATACAATTTTTATTTTAGAGTTACGACTTTATCTTGATTTATAATATTGTTCTAAATTTTATTTTAGACTTATGTTCAAGATTTAGCTGCTCGTGAATCAGATGATCTTTATAATTTAATAGTAACAGAGAAGGGACATATTTATGTTTGCGGTGATGTAACAATGGCTGAACATGTCTATCAGACAATAAGGTAAAGAAATCAGTGAAAGGGTAGTAAATCTCATTCTCTATTTTCTTGCTCTCTTCTTAAATATAAAGTTAATTAACATACTAATTAAATAAATTTCATATTTCTTCATTATTATAGAAAAATTATTGCAATGAAAGAGCAACGACCAGAATCCGATGTTGAAAAATTCCTTTTAAGTTTAAGGGTAAGTACAAAGTAGATTTTAATACACCTTATATACAAAAAGGTACACGTACACTTGTAAAACCATTCAATATATTACTTTTTATAAAATTTTTCTTTAAATCTATGATGAAAATTGCAAAATTTTAATTTTTTATTACACAAAATAATCGATAATCTATATATAATTATGCAATACTAATGTTTTACAGTTATACATACGAGTAACATGAATATTGTCATCAGGATAATAATGATATTCCTAATGATAATATAATTGTTATTGTGTCCTTTCTTTTAAATTAAAAAAAAAAAGAAAATGGAAATTTTCATTGCAAAAAAAAATTTTTTCTCCAATTTTAATGAAAGAAAAATGAAAAATTCTTTTGTTGAAAAAATTTTCACATTATACGTGTTAAGACTACTAATATCAAATTAATGAACCTGGCCAGAATATCAAATTTTAATTATTTTCATTTTCTTTGTGACATATTATTATGAAAGTAAAATTTAGGTCAATTGAAAATCATATTGTTAAAGAATATTGAAAAAATAAGCAAAACAAATTCATAAAAGTTACATGCACTCTGAACATGCATCAGTACCATAAGATAAACAATATGTTCGATTATAAAATAGATTATGACTTGGAGTTAGAAATGACCTAATTTCAAAGAACGACACCCTAATAGGCCGGCAACTACTTTTTAACAACACAACCAAATGCTTACCGATTTTTGGAAATCAATAGAGACAACTTTCTCCCAAAATCTATTTCACGACATTAGGGCTTTGAAAATGTCCATGATATTTAAAGAGCCTTGAGTTGGAACCTTGGTTTCATTAAGCATTACGCTCTCATCTAAATCAGCTACATGAATTATTAGTAAATCATTATTAATATTAACTATCCACTCATACGTAAATTGTACCGATCGTTTTCCCTCACATACGAGAAAAAAATAATTGTTCTGAAAAAAAAAACTGAGATTTTTTCCAAAATTTTTTTTGAAATCAGACCATGTATGTATAAAAGATTCAAACTGTGCTCTCGCAAACTAATTTATTTATGGATAAACCATAATAATTTGCATATACTAACTCAGTTGTGACTTACACGCTTGGAATATGACTTACACTCATTGAATTCTGAACTCCTCATATAATTATGTGCTTATAATATGAATTATGTACTTCGTACTCCAGAATAATATTCTAATAATCACTGTCTTTTTAAAAATTAGGTGTATTTTTCTAACTAAGGCGTTATAATTCATAATTGGGTATCGCACTATGTGTTGAATTTAATAATTTCCATTAATTCTACGAATTTAATATAAGTAAATTATTATTAAAAATTTTAAAATATTTAAAATTTTCAATATTATTTCTATTATTAAACATTTTAAAAATTTTCCTTAACTAATTCTATGTAAGTACTTGAAACAAAAACCTTAAATATATTTAAAAAATTTGTCATTCAATTGTACTATCGATTTTTAATAAAAATATAGGCAACTTTAATTGACCTTAAATAGTTCAAAATCTAAGGTAATAAAGTCATATTTATTATTTATTTATTATACTAAAATAACTATTAATTCATAAAAACTATTTATAAAAACAAAAATAAATAAATAAAATACAAAGGATCACGTACTAAAAATTCTTATTACTAAATCATAATTTTTTAATTTTTTTCATTTTTTGTTTTGTTTTTATAAGCACGCACAAAATATCAAAAAAGCTCAATGGCATAACATTTACTATTATTACTGTTTTCATTTTTTAATGTTAAAAAACAATAATAATTTGAGTCACTAACGATTAACGACACCGGTATCGTCGCGCTCTCTTTAAACAATTAAATTAATTAACATCAGGAAGTTATTAAAAATACACATAACCTACAAAAATTATTGGCTACAATTATTATAAAAAAAATATATTGCTTGAATACAAATTAAATGGAAAAAAAAAAATTGAAAATTAAAAAGCAAACAAAAATTCAAATTTCAAAAGCTTTTTAAAAAATATTTTTTATAGTTATTTTTTAATTAATTTTAACTTTAAAAAAAAAATTTATAATTACGATGCACATTTACCAATCTTCCAAAATTCGACTATTCGAGTCGCTAAAACTCGCTTATATAGCTAATAGTTAACAAAATTATGAGCATGAAATTGCTCATTTTCAAGATGAGAAGTAATTTTCTTTATTTTTCTAGTTAATGTGTTCCGAATTCACGTAATCGATTTTTTCGGAAAATTCAGTCACTCTAGCTTTAAAAATAACAATAATTCGATCATTTTTAATTCGGTAATATTTTCATTGGAAATCACTTGGAAACCGGCAATATCATAATCATAGTTATAGTAGTTGTTCAATAGTTATCAATATAGTTAGAAATTTTTGATTTTATTATTGAATTCCCACCTTATAGCCTGATTGATTGCAAATTCTTTGGACGTACATATTAAGCAACTTAACTCTCTTGGATTAACATAAATTGATTGAATCAAATAAAAATTATCATCAGTTCTGTAAAAAATTACAAAATATTAATTTATTTTATTAATTGTAATGATATAGATTTTGCATGTATCAGCACTTTAATATAAATAATTATGGGACACAAATAGAAGCAATTAAACAATATTAGAAAAACTGAAAAATTGCATGTCTGTCTAACACCTTAAGTGCCATCTATAAACAAAGACAACATTTAATTGTCACAATTCCATACTGTTATATTATAGTCTGATCGGTCTGATAAATTTTTTTAAAAATATTTCTTAAATCAAATAGGACAAATTACCAACCATTAACCATTGATTATTTTTTCATTCACTAAAATAAAATTATAGAAGAATATTACATTTTCTTATCACAAATTTAATTCTCGTACAAAAAATTTGTCAAAAAAATAAATTTGAAAAATTTAATTCATTACAATGTTCATGTACGTTTGTTGCAACAATATTGACACGTTTATCAAATAACAATAAATAGAAAAAAAAAAAAAAAGAAAAATAAAAGCAAAAACTACAACGTCCACAAAAATAAAATAAAAAAATTTCAGTAGCAAAAAAAAAATTTCAGACTTCAGAGCTCTAATCGATTCATAATCGATTCTGGTCACGTTTGATAATCGTTCGAATAATTCAAAAGAATAATGTATAAAAAAAAGCAAAATGAAAGTAAAAAATGTAAAAATTATATTTTATAAAATCTACAATACCTTAATACTTAGATTCCACAACATTTTTGTTAAAAGTACCTAAAATACGTTATAAATATGTAAGCTAGCCCTTTCAAATTGACATTTGTGTCAATAGCATTTGCAATCATCCCAAAATACCCAAATTTTCATTAAAAGTTTAATCGTTTTAAGATTAAATTACTCAGGCTGGGCCTAGAAAGTGAAGGTACTTGTAGATTTTGACGATAGGACGAAGAGTAATTGGTTGATCTTTTAGCAGATTTGAGCGAAATACCTGCCGAACCTTTCAAGGTACTCGAATTCACCAAGTCGGCGGAACTTTTTTAGGTTTTGTTCCACACCTAGTTAACGAGCACAATAGATGCTTATATGCTAAACGCGGTTAATTGTTATCTCACCTGTACAATCTACAACATAAGCTAAAATTAATAAAATTAAAAAAAAATTATAATTCACGATATAAATAAAGCTTTCTCCCTGTTTTAGAATTCTTGAATTTTTGAAAAATCTATATGACATGTACAAGAAAAAGGAACATAATGTTATTTAAATAAATTATTATTTCAAACAAGCAAAATAAAAAAAATCAATATCAAGTCTAAATTTTCAAATAAGCTTAAAAAATAAGGAAAATAAAAGATTAATGATCCACAGTAAAATAGATGAGTAACAAAATACATTTGTTTCCATTTCAAGCATGATCAGTTGATCCAGCAGATTTAGAATATACCAACATTTAATAGGAGGAAGAATGCCATTATAGAACTCCGTGTGGAGTGTTTATAAATGACGCTTTATTAAATGAAGTTTATGACGCTTAACAATAAACATTTGCAAACCATTCTCAACGGTTTTCTTATTTTAGTTTGAAACGCCCAAAAGGGACATGGTCATTATTTATAACAAATGCATTCTATTTAATGTTTTATATAAACTAGAGACATTGTAACACTCTAAGTTTTACACTCGTATATATATATCAACTAATATAATAAAGCAGTTATGAGTTATAGCGCTAAACTGAAATGGATGTAGTATGTGATAATAAAAATTATGCCACCGCTAGTATGGCATTCCCAAGTACTAATCCTAAATGGACGAAGTATCCAGTAAAAAAGATTACCGCATTACTACGGCAGCATATTGTACATCGTGACAGTCTACATTAATTCAAATTCAAAATTTAATTCATTTAGTCAGTTCCTTATCCAATATCATTGTTATAACATTGTTTATCCTATTGTTGTTTGGTTAACTTTATGACATAAAAATATAATGTTGTAAATTCATACTTAATTTGTTATGAATTTTCGAAAAGGCAAACAAAAAATTGCAAAAAAATTATTTGTTTCATATTCTTTTTTCCTAATAAATTCTAGTACAAGATACTAAGTTGAAAATCCACGTAAATCATTGATAAACTCAGCATTGGTATATGGGATCGGTGCTAAATACATTTTACACTTTTAGTTTAATGCTCGCCCCTGACCATCAATTTCATATTTTCAATTTTTTATGGTTTTGATTTGGTTTTTTTTTTTTTAAAGTACAATCGTCGCCAAAGTTTATTTATAGACAAAACCAAATGATAAAAAAATCAAAAAAAATGTTTTTTTTTTTTTAAATAAAAATCGATTCAGTATTTAATAGTGACACAAAAGTAAAAATGAATGTGACAATCAAGGTTATAAAATCGTTAAATTAAAGATTTTTCCATTTTGAACATTTTAAGTTTTAGAAAAAAAAAGAAAATTTCGTTGTAAAGAAAATGATTTTTTTTTATTTGTCTAGCTAGATCTAGAAAGATGACAATAAGGTTAAAGGGGAAATGAAAAAATTTAAGAATTTTCCAATAAGTTTTTATGACTTTTTCAAAGACATTCTAGTATTTTTTTTTTTTTTGTAAATTGTGTTCAAGGATAAAAATTTAATAAATGAAATTATGTAATTTGAAATTGTTGTTAATGTAATTACAAATTCGACAAATATGAAGTACATAAATATGATGTGACCGTATAAGTAATGGCCGATTCATAAATTTTTCAAAAACTATCTTCATTGAATGCTAGTAGAACATTGCTCTATCTGTCACTGATGTTGTCCAAGGCTGATTCCATTATTATAGCTTAAAAAATCTTAGAATTGCATCAAACTCGAACGTTTAGCTTTCAGATATCACGTCGCATTACAATACAAGCCGTCTTTAGCTAAATAAAAATGGAAAATTTACAAGGCGAAATATGATTGCCGCTCTTCTGTTTCTCATTAGTCATTTTCTCTAAATATCAAAAAGTAAAGGTATTTTTTGACCAACAATAACCCTAAAATAAAAGCATCAAATTCCTTAAGAAATGTTTCAAATAATTTTTACATAACTATTTTTCGAAATTGGAGGATCAATCGTTAACGCAACTCTAAAATAAGTCTTGTTGAACAATTTTCTAGATTCAAGTTTCTAATTTCATAGATTCTACGAGATCCGGGTTCTATATACAAATACCGATATAGCTTTGATTATTTCTGATTTTTTACATAATTAAGATTCATATGGCAAATAGATAAAATAATTATAATTTGGTAAATGTGAACTTAAAAATCGACTCTTTATCTTTTATTTTAAAATAATATCTTTAAAATAAATTAGCATGTATGACTAGTGATAGAGCAGGCATGTCTTTATTTCAAATATCATATTTTGTCAGCACTCCATTGTTTTTAGAAAGGTTTCCAATAGTTTCTTTAATGAACTATGCTTCGTTTGGTTTCGTAGAAATCACATCTCTTGACTCTTTCTATAGTCAAGAAACATTTGAACTAATTCCCACATTTTCCACTCAAAGTTCATTTATTTTCGTATTAAATGACTCAAGCTATTATTAGAAATTTAAAATATTTTTCCAACATAGACACGTTTTCTTTACGGAATTCGATTCATTTTATATTATTACGGAAACTAAAAATCGATTTTCTAAGGTAAATAAAAACAAAAACCCTGACTGACTTATTTGAATTTTTGCTTATAATATTTCTTTGCTATTTCTTTTTTTACGAACTTTCAATACACATAAATTCTACATATTTTACATATCAATCAAATTAGTGCTTAATCATTATTAAATATGAATATTCTATTGATCTATTCTATAGAAAGAATAATATTATAATAAAAATAGTATTGACATATTTAAAAAAAATCTCAAGTTCTGCTATACTGCCATTTTCTTACTTCTCCATTATGCTTTTGTGTGCTTTCATTACGAAAACAATTGGGATACGATGATGAGTATCCGAAAAATAGCGTAATTTTTTTTTTTTTGGTTTAAATCCAAAGTCATAACACATTCAAAATCAAGGACAATACACAATATGTGAATGTATACGGTTTAAATATCAGAGCCAATTTTTGTTCTACAACAAATTTTGTTTTTGTTGTAGAAAACTAAAATGTTTTCTACATTACGTCTATCTGTGTGTGTGTGTGTGAACAGTGAAAATTTTCCATTATTTAAGTTGATTAAAAAAAAAAATTTATAATCGATTTAATTACCAAAAATAAAAGTAGTAAAAATAAATGAATGTTAACGTATAAAACAAACGAATTTCATGACTTTTTCAATGATTGTTATTGTTTTAAAAGCAGTCGACTAAAACCATAACAGATACATGTTGGATTATATAAATTAATTATTTATATAGATTTGAAAATTAGAAGGCCAAAATATTAACATGGTATTGAAGAAGCAAGTTGTGTAAAGGATACGAGTTTTGTGTATAATAAATATTTTAATACCATTTTTCTTTTAATTTAGTTTTCAAAAATTTTTTCTGTGATAAACGAGAGGGCCTTTGAACTCATAAATTTATTACAAAATTTTAGAATTTAATGAACTGTTATTGAAAATATAATGACATTCAATTTCAAAATTTATTAATTATTCGGGTAGTTTTAAAAAGCCTATGTTTTGAAAGTATGCCTTTATTGTTCTTATATCTCATAAATATTCCTTTGTTGTACAAAGGAATATTTATGATCTTCACAGAAAAAGAGAATTCCACCATGTATATATTCACCATTTCGTGTTGTAGGAGCACAGAGAATAATTAATTTTCAAATAATATTGATCTTTCTGTCTATCTGTCTGGGGACTCTTTTGTATCGAATTTAAATGATTAATTTATATGACAACTTATATCTTAACAAAGCTTGTGGACATAACCGTGTGATCCACTTATAAATCTTTAATAGTGTCTATATAATTCCTGCAAATTTAATAGAACAAATTTAATAGAACAATAGAGAACGAATTTGTACACTTTTCTCCTAAAATATACAAAATTTTTTTATTAAATAAAATTTTTATATTTTATGCTATACACACTGTATATACTTATTTTAATTAACCGAATATATTAAGCGTAAGAATTTTCAATATTAATATTCGCCAAAAAAAAAAAATAATTCTTAAAATTATGAAAAGTAAACAATATTTTTAATTTTAAAATATAAGCACACAAACTGAAAATTTTCCAATATATACAATCAATTACGATCAATTTATTTCCCTAATTATTTTTACATTTACCTATGTATTCAAATAAATTTATCATTACTCATTATATATTATATATAAATTTCTTATAAAATGTATTTGTTTCACCATTCACCCTATAATTTAGGATGAAAATCGTTATCACGAGGATATATTTGGTATAACACTACGTACAGCTGAAATACATAATAAATCTCGTGCAACAGCTAGAATTCGTATGGCATCACAACCGACATAAAGTCATTTATCACTATATTTTATAATATATTACATATTATATGTATAATATTCAGAAACAAGAAAATCTACGTAAGTATATACCTTCAAAATTTATTTCATTTTCTTCTTTTGTTTTGAAAATTTTGTTATACAAAAATCAAAATATGACAAATTGCAAATGTATTACATGTTATCATTAAAAATCTTATTATTTATGATAAACAATGATTAATATTATGTTATTATACAATTTAACATTAAACATTACTGAATGAATGAATCTGAAATATTATTTAGATATATAAAATGTATATGAATTTCAATATGAGCTCGACTAATATTATTTTAGCTTTATAATTTTCTACTTCATAAATTTTCGATTAAAAATCAAAAATTTTATGAAAATATTTTTATTATTATAAAATTTTAATTATTTTTTGTTTATCTATTCATATTTGTGTATCGTGTATTATCCAGCATATAAGATTTTTAGGCTAGGATTTTTTTGTTAGCCGATTTTATGTATGTGACGGGTAATAATTTCTGTGACAATTTTTTAGAAAAGGATTTCCAGATTCGCCGAATTTTCTTAGAAAAAGTTACATTCTTTATTTAGATGTTATACCCCTGCTTTTTATGTCCTAAATTTGACAATTTTTCACTAAATTTTACTATGTCTTAAATTTTTTTTGAAAATCTTGCATTAAGAACAAGAAAAATTTTTAAAATTCCATTAAAATATTTGATATCAAAAATATTTCAAATAATATTGGTAATTATATACTTGTAATAATTCTTCCTGATTTGTTTATTTACGCCTGTGGGAGTTTTGAGCATGTAAGAGTCATTAAGTAAATTGCACACTAAATTTTATTAAATGAAACTTAAATTACTTGTTCTAATCAGATGCAGAGGATAGATTTTTCTCAAAAAAAAAAATATATTTCAGTCACAGTCTTATAAATATCAAATATCATTATTCTATATTATTAACACCAAAGTTTGAAGAATTCCTGCTATTAAGACCTACACACTTACATCTCTTTTAGTTGGAATTCAGCTGAATATAAATTTCCTTTATGCTTTCCTACAAAATATATAAGTTTTTGTTTTTCAAATCTAAAGTCTTTAATTCAAAAGATTGATTTTCAATTTAATTAAAATATTCTTAATCTGTTGCATTTGGTTATAACCTACATTAAACTCAAATTGTAATAAATAACTGAAATTCATCAAAAAATCATAAATCTTGTATAACATTATTTTTTTAATTTTTATAAAAATATTTCAAATTCAATATAAAATTTTATAATATTTTTAATTTCTTTATACAATCGAACAGGTATCATCCTATACATCCTATTTAAACGTTACTTTTAATACAATATAATTATAAATATTTCAAACATGAATATCTACATACATATATATATATATATATATATATATAATTAAATTTATTAAAGAACAAATTTCATTGCACTTATTAAGAACTATTAATATACAAAAAGAAAAAAAATAGTTAGCAAAAACTTATTTTTTCAAATATAGCTATATATATCATAATTATATATATACATATATATATTAGAAATGCTTTATATCACATTTAATTTAATAAAATCTTATTGTCACCCTTTAAAATTAAATCAATTATGTAAGTACTTTAAATTTTTAAATTTCAAAAGCAAATAATGTAAATTAAAATAAAAGCAAATTAAATAATTTTTTTTTTTAATTAATAATTCTATTATATCGAAATTATTAATAAGCATAATTCATAATAAATATTATATGCCATTATTAATAAAAAAAAAATTATATAATCTATATTCAAATTGTATTTAATATAAGTAAAACACATATCTACATTATATAATATACATATGTACTTATACAATATAACACTTTTCTTAAACAATTTGTATATTTAATAATTATATTATTATATTAAATTTTAATAATCGATGATACTTCCAATTATTATAGTCTTATACAATAATTAATAATCAAAAGTAATTTTACATTATATCATAATATAAATCCATAATATAAATGTGATTATTTAAAATCATAATGGAATAATATAATTAGTATACAAAAGCACAATGTAATATTCAAATCACAATATTTACAAAATATCGTATACAAGCTCTAATATTAAAATTGTTTTATTGTTAATCAGCCATTTATTGGAAATTTTAAGAAGATGAATTTTCTTTGATTAATAAAACTGTTATAAATTTATCCGACATCTATCAAATCAAATTATTTTCATTATCAATCTTTTTTGTTTATTTTTTTCCAAAAGTTTTAAGTTTTTGATGTTTTTTTTATTAAATACAAGTAAAATTACATCAAATGTGACAGGATAAAAACATAAATTCGATATTTTGGTTTATACCCAGAAACATTGAATTTGCGATTTTATGTAGCATACAAATGATTTAAAGTAGATGAAATGTCAAACTTATTTCGAAAAACCATGATTTTTATTAATTTTTCCTTATATTCTTGAAAGAATTAAAGAAACAAAGAAAATTCAATTGTGAAATTTTTATTGTAATTTTAAAATTTTGTATAACATTATTTTTAGTACCTAAACTAATTTTTAATCCCTAATATCCATAAACAATTACGGACTTTTGATTACATTGTAGTTTACCTAATCCTTCTGAATTATCAAAAAATATGCGAAATTTTCTTTTATACACTTCAGATAAAAAAATTCGTCTTTTTTTTTTACTTTAAACTGTTATATTAATATTACAATACATTTTTAAAAACTCTTGTGTTGAGGTTTTGGAAAATCAGGTCTTGGAGCTTAGATTCTTAGTTCAATACAAATATAAATAATAATAATTCATTGTAAATATTGTAAACAATAATTATTATATACTTGTACTAATATTGCGATTAACATTATAAAACATACAATATATGTAAATAAATTATATAATGTAGAATGTATATTGATTTTTATTAAATTAAAATAATATTTTAAAACTATATAAAATATCAAAAAATAAATAAAAACAAAAAAAATATATCCTATGTATATTATCAATTTTTATTATAAATAATAAAATGCACAAAACTTTTTTTCAAAATGCAACCAAAAATACAAATAATATACAAAAAAAAAAAATTTTCTCTAAAATATTTCTAAAATTAATAACATAAAATATTTAAAATCTTAAAATTTAACAAAAAAAATTATTATAAATAATGAAAAAAAAAAAAAAACGAATACAAAAAATATTGCTATATATTTTTCATTTCTTTATTAAATTGTATTTTTTTATCTATATTACTAACAACAATTAACTAACTATATAAAAATTAAAAAAATTAAAAAAATATATAACAATTTTAAATAAATTTTATAGAATAAAAAAACATCGAAATTATTTTAAATATAACTATTAAAATTATGAGTAAATTAAAGTTAAACTTTTACATGAAAATTGAAAATTCCTTATTTTTTTTTTTATTTTGTATCGTAACTGTTATACATACGACTTTATATTAGTGTACATTTATATTATACAATTTATTTTGGATAAACAAAAACAAAAATTTATTAATTTAGCAAACAAAATAAATTGCTATAAATTATTTTTCTTATTATTATTATTTTCATTATTATTATTATTATTATTATTATTATTATTATTATTCCTATTATTCTTATTATTGTTATTATACTACTTTAATAGTACTATTACACCAGTATTCGACACACGTATATTATTTTGTATAAAATCAAACAGAAATTTTATTAAATATGTTTTTTTGTAACTGTTATACTAACATTAAAAACTGTTATACGAATTCAATAACTTTTATACTGATATTCTACACATTTCGTTTTACATAAAAGAGTGTCCAGAAAATATTTTTCTATTATACTGTTATACTAATTACAATATTTGTTATATATATACTGGTATTTAACAAATTTTATTTTGTAATAAAATTTATAATTGAACATAATTATTGTATTATATATTATTTACATATATATTATTGTATATTAGCCATATTAATTATGTTACAAATAAAATTTTAATTTTTTGTTTTTATTTTTAATTTTACTTTATATATTACGAGTATAAAATATATATACATAATTATGAATAAAATTTAAAAAAGAATGAGAAAAAATTTAAGAAACAAAAAAAAAAAAAAAACAAAAATTGGTGACTTAAGATGAAAAAATAAATCAATTAAAATTTTATCCTTTATCAAAAAATTTAATTACTATACCATTATTATATTCAAAAAATTAATTAAAAAATACATTTAAAAACAAAACAAAAAAATTTATTATTATCATATTAATTATATCATCATGTACATGTATATATACTTGTACGTGTATAACAATATAAGTATATATATATATATATATATATATTTTAAATTTAATTTTTAAAAATACATTTCAATTAATAATTGTTTAAAATTATTGAATTTTATGAAATTGACAAAAACAAAAAAAATATTAGAAAAAATACAAAAATAAAAATGATTTCTTTTTGTTATATTCGAGAAAAATAAAGTTTTAAAATCATATGAAAACTAAAAAACCGAACTTGCACGTACATCAGAAGGTTTCCTTTAATTCAAATATTTTTTAGAAATTTTTAATTTATTAAATCGCTAGCCATATTTTTATTATAAAGCATATTCTAATTGTAATTGACCGTGCCAACTGTACGATATAATTAAATTTTCTAGCTCGTATATCACTTGACTTAAGGCAATTAAAATTAAAAAAAATCTTCTGCTGTACTGCGCATATTATTATTTTCATTAGATTAAGATTTTTTTTAGATTTATAAGACAAAAGGATGAATAAAAATTTAGAGTTACTTTATTGAATACGAACTACAAAATGCTAGTACAGTACATAAACATACTTTGGTAAGCACGTTAATTATGACTAATTGTATTTTATGAAATAATTGTCTTTATGTCTTTAACAATTTTCACTTATTTATTGAAAAAATAGATGAGTTTATACTGCAGAGTTTTTTTGCGGTAACTTGGTTTCAAAAAATAAAAATATTAAAAAAAATTTTTTCTATATAGATTTTTTATTGTATAGATTGAAAATTAACAATTTTATAAAATATGAATTTTATTAACAACCATCATCATGACAAGCATTACCTTCATTAATAATCCAATATCCGTCACTCCATCTTGTTCTTAATCCAATAAAATTTATTGGAAATATTTGTTCTGTGTGCTGATAAACTAAAAATGGTATAATATCATTTCCTTTGCCTACCATAATTTTACCCTGAAGACTCCATTTTATCCAAAACGGACGATACTCATCTTTATTTAAAAAATCTGGTGTATGACTTTTCACTACTTCACTATAATTTTTTTTTTTTTAAATATTTTACATAATTTATAAAAAAAATTTCATATTTTACTTACATTTTATTCATTTCAATATTACTCTCTTTATTATTGCATTCACCAATTTGAATTAGAATTGTTGGATCTATAAATTGTGGTGAATTGCTAAGAGAAATTAATGCACAATGATAAGCTTTTACCCAAAATTCAAAACAATTTTTCTTTATAACTGGTACATATCTATATTCTATTCTATTTAGTGTTATTATTTCTGAAAAAAATGCAATATTTATATAAATTTTCATAAATTTATTTTATTAATAAATTCTATTTTTATTTCGTATACAATAGGTATAACACTTACGTTCATTTTTCTGGCAGACTGTTAAATCTTTGTCACTCATAGATGCAGGTAAAGTTTGTAAATTTGTAAAGGCTGCATCTATTTTAAATGCAATAGCAAACAAGACCAATAATATTATATAAAAAGACATTTCAATACGAATTATTTAAAATACGAGTATACAATTGTATTCGTTCTTTTCAATTTAGAGTTTAAAACAGAACTATTAAATATTTTAGTTTTATCAAAATGATATTGTGTTTATACGAATATAACATATATACGAATATTTACATACCATATACAAATATGAAGGTCAAGAGCTTTACGCCAATTTAAATTTATGATATACTTTACCCAAACTAAAGGAATTAAAAGATAAGAATTTAAGAAATAAGTATGAGGAACCAAAATAATAAATTGGATATATAAGAATATAATAATGTGGGTGTATTTACGATAAAAAATAAAATTCTAACAAATTACGACTCATAACAGGGTCTTTTTACATATTTCTTATTACTTATTTCAATTCTTCAAATTTTATAAAAAAAATATTTTTTCTTGGTAGCACTACACTAGATAATATTAAAAATATCCACATTTTTGTACATTGCAAAAGTTCGTAAAAATTTGAATTATTAAAAATTTTGGATTTTATTTCAAAAATTTTAAATTGCCCAATATGAGAAACACTTCGGTTTTAATTTATTTGTAATTCCCAAAACATTTGTTGCTATTCTTTAAGAATTCGAAGAATGCTAACAGATTTTATTTACAATTTGTTCTTCTTTGAAGTAAAATGTTTGAGTAATTTGCCAAAAATTTTGAAATTAAATTTTTATTTATTTATAATTTATTTATAATTTTTAAATTTCAACTTTCGGTAATTCTCTTAACACCCTCTTTTCAAATTCTTACGGAAATTCCGAAATTAATAATAAATATAATATGATAAATTCGTTTAAGCACATTTCCTTTCAGCATAATTGAATAAATTAATAAATTCTCATATTAAAATTACTTAACACATTATGTAATAAATAATTATTGAATACGTTCATGAAGAGTCGAACTAAACAGTGTAATTAATTCTATTTACTTAAATGAATCATGAGAAATAATTTACTGACAATTTTTGGCTATTATATAAATTTACCAAAGCTTATAGAGGCAACAACTTGCAATCAGAGATGGGAAAAATTTTTATTTCAATTAATTTTTGCAAAACGGTGAAAATCTTAGCATTTTATAATTTGTAAAACACAACAGCTAATTTTGACTCTAAAAGAGAAAGCCGTAATTTTTTTTGGATTTGTCAAAACTTGCTCAAAGGGTAAGGGGGTTTTGCAGATAGACCTTCTCTTTTAGAAAAATAAATTTCTGCCGAGGCTCTTTTTGATAAACAAAAATTTTAGCTACCCATTTAAATAGTTTGGTAAGCAGAAGAACAAGCAGAGTGAAACTATTAAGTACAATTCCTTTTTGAAAAAATTTCTTTGAAAGTGTGATAAAAAAATTGTTAAAAGTGTGATAACCGAAATTCAATTATACTGATTAAGCACCCTTTTTTACAAAAACCAAAAATTTATTTCGCCAAAAATCATAAAATTATGAATTTAGTTTCAAAATATTATTTGAATAGTAAATGATTAGAAAAATCTTTTCAAAATCATAATGTTTTTTAAAATAATTTTATTTATTCTTTTTGTTGTTTTATTTGATATAAATATTGCTAATGATGATTATAGTAAATGTTTGGAGAAAGTTTCTAGTCCTAGAAGAAGTTAGTAATATTATATTTTTAATACTTATTGTAACTGTACACAAGGTCTATTTAAATTTATTTTCATTAAATAATTTATATGTGTTGTTTCTTTTTTAACTAAGAAATATCAACCAAAGATCCTTATCAATTCCGATATATACCAAATGTAAAGAAAGATCGTTTTGAATTTTGGGTAAAAGCAAAAGCAGATGCTCATATCTCGTTAAGTAATGCCCCTATATTATTAGATCCGAAAGTTGTAATTATAATTGGTGGATGGGATAATACGGGAACTGAAATTAATATTTGGTCTGATGATGTGTAATATAAAATTTAATTTAAATAACAATATAATATATTAATTTTATTATAATTATTTCACATTATAACAAAATTATAGTCACTATCATCAAAGTGTACCAGATCTTTTAAATGAAAATGAATATCGTGGTTTTTGGATTAAATGGAATTATAATGGTAATATTGCAATTGGAAAAAAAGGTGATAGATTTCCATTTATAGCTTATAATAATACGAAACCATTTTTTCCAATAAATTTCATTGGAGTAACATGTCAAAAAGGATATGATGGTTTTTGGATAATTAATGAAGGTAAAAATTTATTATTATTATCAAAACAAAAAAAAATTTACTTAACCGAATAATTTATTTTAAAAACAGACTTGGATTACAAATTCGATGAGTAATAATTAAGTAAAGACGAGTATATCAGAAATTAAGAATATTTTATATATAAAAAAAAATTAAATGATTAGTTTTGGAACGAATTAAAAATTAACAAACAAATTAAATGGGGGAAGTGATTTTTAAAAGTTAAAATAAATAATTTTATTATAAAATCCTTTTTTTATTCTAATTTTAAATAAATTTTTCATATTTATAATTTTGATAATATTTTTTAATTTATATATGAATGAGCACTCTCTCACAGAATTCGAAATTTTCAGTCATCATTTAGACTATACCATGTATATATAACGTAAAAGCTTAGAGTTAAATTCGGTACAAAACTTATTTAACTATTTATATGATATAAGGTAAAAATTTGCTATCTCTATTAATTTCTAGAACCATTGAATTAATTAGAATTAAAACTGTTATACTCGTATTGTTATGATTGTCAGCTACGTAACTCATCTGTGCAATAAATAAGATAAATAAATCTCTTTTAATCTTATAGTGTTATTGGTAAATTTTCAACAAAAAGTTGATACATTTGAAATTAAATTAAAGAAAACCTCTTTGAATTGTTTATATCATTAGAAAAAAATTGTAAATACCTATATAGCTATATTTATGAAATATATTAGGCGTAATATGATTATTAAGTTAAAAAACTTTTAAGCCGGATAACTCAAGATTATGGTGGGCTCACTATCTTACCACTTTAACTCAATGACGCAAGAAACTGGTTCATTGTTCAACAATATCATACACCTGCTTTACACAGGATCGAATAGGTTAAAAAAAAACTCAAGATTTTTAAAATAAAAAAGGGGCAATTTATGATTTCTCGAAAAATTTGTAAACATATTTTTTCAAAAATTTATACAACCTTTCACATAATTAATAAATAATGAGGAAATTTCTATATTACTGCAATATATAGAGAGAGAGTAAAGCAAAAATTAACTTTAACTATTAGAATTTTCAAAAATATTATAAATTCTAACTCTTTAGGATCAAGGTGACAGGTTCAAAACTTCTAACTATTTTTTTTTTTTTTAATTCAATTGTGCAACACTTTGCAAACGTATCTACCGACTAATAAACTTTACGGAAATTTTAAAATTTTTTTAACAATACCAGTTCTGGCATACGAAAATTGTTCTTCATTTTTTAATTCTCTCATTATATAAACTTGCATCTCTTTCCCTTCAATTTATTTAGTTCTCTCTCACAGTAACCATTTAAATATTAAGGGCCTTATCGTCTATCTGGCTATTTTATTCGGAAAGTGTACTTTCATATACAGTCGGATTGTGTATATTGCTTTTTTACTCACTATTTATTCACTTTTAAATCAGAATTCTCAGTATTTTCTAATGCTTGCTTCACTTTTCCAATTAAATTACTCATTTTTTTAATTGGATTTTTGCAATTTTTCTCAAATTTCAGACTAAACTTCTCACTTTCAAAAAAAAAAAAGTGAATAAATTTTGTATGCATTTTGGAAAAACACGAGATACGCAATACTAAATAATTCTTCTCACTCGAAAATTACATTATACAAATATTTGATAGTCACTCACTTTTTTCTCACTTGGCGTGTAAAACAGCGAGATAGACGATCAGGCCCTAAATTTAAAATATAATTACTCTTAATTATTATTGTAATGAAAAATCATTTTTATTATATTAAAAATATTTTCATTAATAAACCCAATTCCAATTCCTAAAACTCAAATTAAAATATTACAAAATAATAAAAATTTCAAAATGAACTTTTGTTCTCATTATATCATATTACGCGCGCAATTTTAAGGCACACGATTTGTAATTTGATTTTAAATTTTATTTTACAAATTTAAAAATTATTAAAAAAACAAATTTTTTTTTTCGTAACAATTCATTTCCCTTTCAATATCCCTTCAATTTTGTTTAAAATTATTACTGTTTTTTATACCCTGCACTTCGTGAAGGGTATATTAACTTTGGTATGGAGTTTGTAACTACTTGAAGGAGTCATCTGCGGTATGGACATATATATATATTCTTGCTCAGCGTAAAATTCTGCGTCGATTTAGACATGTCCGTCTGTCCGTCCGTCCGTCCGTCCGTCCGTCCGTCCGTCCGTCCGTTCGCACGATAACTCAAAAACGAATAATGCAATCGACACCAAACTTTCACAAGTTTTTTTTTTTGTACCAAGGACGAGCCCTATTGTTATTGGACTAATTCGGACAACGGGTTCGGGTAGCTGCCATACAACTCCAAGAGTTTATTTTAAATATTTCAAAAACTAATAAAGCTATAAATATAAAATTTTGTATACATATGTCCAATTATATTCTAAACATGCTCTAAAAATTATAATGGGATAGCTGCACCGGTTCGGGTGGCTGCCATACAACTCCAACAGTAAATTTTTTATATTCGGCAAAATAATAAAGTCAGATTCATGAAACTTGGCAGTCATGTGTCCAATTATAGGTCAAATATATTTCTGAAGTTTTAGAGGAATCGCTTGACAGGTTCGGGTACCTGCCATACAACTCCAGAAGCTAATCTTAAATATTTGGAAAAATAATAAAGTCAGATTCATGAAACTTGGCAGTCATCTGTCCAATTATGGCTCAAATATATTTCTGAAGTTTTGGTGGAATTGCTCGACAGGTTCGAGTAGCTTCTATACAAGTCTAAAAGCTTATTTTAAATATTTGGAAAAATAATAAAGTCAGATTCATGAAACTTGGCAGTTGTGTGTCCGATTATAGATCAGATATATTTGTGAAGTTTTGGTGGAATTGCTTGGCAGGTTCAGGTACTTACCATACAACTCCAAAAGCTAATTTTAAATATTTGGAAATATAATAAAGTCAGATTCATGAAACTTGTCAGTTGTATGTCGAATTATAGGTCACATATATTTCTGAAGTTTTGGTGGAATTGCTTAACAGGTTCAAGTAGATCCCACACAAGTCTAAAAGCTTATTCTTAATATTTGGAAAAATAATAAAGTCAGATTCATGAAACTTGGCAGTCGGATGTCCAATTATAGGTCAGACATGTTCGTGAAGTTTCTATAGAATGGTTTCAGAGGTTCGAGTAATTGCTACACAATAACGAAAGGTGCAGGGTATAATTCAATCGGTTTATACCGACTGAAACGTTTTTACTTGTTTTTTTTTTATTAATGCCATAGAAATTCAATCACTTTGACCGGATATTTGTGGTGAAAAATGTTTAGATTTAAAAAAAAAAAAAATTTTTTTTTTTTTTAATATTTTTTTGTTTTAATAAAAATATCTCACGCAATTATTGTTTTGGTCACATGTGAAACAAAAAAAGAAATTTTTAATTTAAATTTTGCAAAATATTGTCATCTACTCTCCCCTTCAATCCGCTAAACTTATCGTAATTAATGTCTGGTTTTGAAAGCAATATACAAAATTTGCTTATTTTTCATAATTTTATGATTTGGAAAAAATCATACGATTTTTCACTATATATGTACATATATTTATGTTGTATTTATAAATTTGACCAGAGTAAATAAACTTAAAAATCCCTTGAAATTGAAAAATCAGCTAAATTTTTTTTTTGCTATAAGAACAACAATCTAAAATAATATCATGTAGGTTTCTATACACAACCAATATTTCTGTTTTGTACAAAAACAATATGATTACACAATATTTTAGGTTAATACACTTAAATTGCAAATTGACAAAAATAACAAAAAATTTTAAAACAAGTAAAAAAAGTTAATTTTGATGTTATAAAAAAAAAAAGAAAAATTTAAATACCCGCCTATTCTAAAATAAACTTTCTTTATTAGAATAATTTTTTAAAAGTAGAAGACCTCAAAACAAACCTTTTAGTTAAAAATTTTTCTCCGATTCTGAGATATTATGAGGTCGATATTCAACATTAGATCAATGAACAAAACAATTTTAACAAACACATTTCGCATCATCATATCTATTAATTATTTAATTGCCCCTTATTAATGTTTGTGTTGAAAGTTGGCTACCTCTAGCCGTTATATCGATATAAATCGATTTTTTGCAAATTATATCGATAATTTTCAAGCAGCTATAAAGTGAGCATCCTGTACCCAAATTTAAAGTTATCGTATTATACGGCAAGCAACAAGCAACATAACTAAATTAGATTCTAAATTCAGAGCAGAACATATAAGATTCTAAATTTTGAGGAGATATATGCATTCTATAGGAAAATTGTACATATCATTTAAATGTACTCATTGAAATGATATGTACATTGGTGTTACATACGTCATTGAAAATTGTATATACCCTGCCCTATATATGGTAATATCGCCCGGATATGAAAACAAAAAATAAAAATCAAATAAATTTTAATTTTTATGAATTAAGAATATTTATGAATTTTTATGAATTAACTAACACGTATTCTTTTTTATTAATTAAATTAGTTAATATATTGCACCTACGCAATTACACAAAAACAAAAAAAAAAACAACGTGTACACTTAACTGATTTGAGTTCTTTGAGAGTAAAATAGAGCATATAAAAATAAGATTTATAAAAGAATACATTTCACCACATTTTCATCCGTTAGAATTGTGTTAAAAGTTAAAGGGCCCTTTAAACACCGGATTATATTTATATTTGCTAAAAATTCCATTGGTACTTAATAAATTTACTTAATACAAGAATATTTACATTTTATATGAATTTACGATTACGGTAGGCTCGTCCCCTACTTAGCAAACTCCATGACGTAAGAAACTGGTTGATGGTTATCTACAATATCGTGCACTAGTCCTATGTGCCTACCAGGAGCGAAGTAGGAATAAAAAAAAATACGAATTTACGATATACAGTATGACAATAATATTTATGAGAAGATATACATACATAATTTGCCTAGTAACATAATATTGGTAATGTAATACTACAATAATAAAGTAAACTACAATCTTATAAACTACAATTATTTCAAATTTTTAATATAAGATAGGTAAGTAGACCAAAACTCCTTTAATAAATTTGCTATATTATAATTTTGTTATATTCTATATTAGAAACTACAAAACTTCAATGATAATTATAAATTTATTTCAGAATTAAAAATATTGTAAGCCTAGAAGAAGCGTAAAGAAACAAAAAAGCCAAAAACAACAGAAATATTATTGTTTTACAGAATAATTATTTTCTTCTACATAATAAATGCTATTATGTAGAAGAAAATAATTATTATAAAATATTAAACTTAATAAATCAAACTGTAAGCCACTTGTTATATTAATATTAATTTAACATTGAATATAACAATATTAAAATTGTTGCCGCAGTACTGTTATACGTAATCTGTAAATATTATTTTATTTCAGTTCAATCGTTTTTGTTATAACTTCAAATTTATTTTTTATGCTGACCGGTTTCTAAAAAAACACTATGGATTAGCTTACTACACTATATAAGAAAAAAAAGTAAATGTTATAATTAGAAAATGTTATTATTAGTTCTCATTTTCTTGCACATTTCTTCCTGTTATGTTACTGTTATTATTAATTTGCCTCTCTATGACGTACACACACATTTTAAGGCAATGTATATTGCTATGCATTTGATAACTGTAAAATGTATTTTAATATTAAGTTATAATGCTTATTTATACAATTTAAAAAACGAAATTTAGAAAATAACATAAAAATGTTAATATAGAATTAACATTCTCTTAATTTTTCTTAATTTTGTTGATCACTTTTAAAAAATTACAAGGAATGTTTTTATCTCTTGAAGATTTCCAGGTAATTTAGAATATCATTAATTTTGTGTGACAATATCACAAGTGACATATAATATAAATGATTTTCTAGTGACGTTGACGAGTTTAGTGATAGGACATATGTCCTATAATTAAATTAAAGTTTTAATAATAACAGTTTTCCAATTAAACCGGCCAATTTAAAACAACTATTCTGGTAACACTATTCTTACAATACCTGAACTAAAATCCATAGATATTATTGTTTGTAGATTATAATACTTTTAAAATTTTAATAATTTTTTTTTATTACATACTTTTAACATTTAACATTTCCAGTGATCTGAAACACATCAAGCAGTTAAGCGGGCCAATAAAATTAATAGTATTCTGCTCTGCTATAACCAAATCGATTTGTTTATTCATAAAACTTCTGTTATTTATTTTTTTTTATTTTTCTTTTCTTTTCTGTTATATTTCTTATTATTTTTATATGACTAGCCTGCTAGCATTAACATGGTTTACTAAATTTCCTTCATTATTCGCTCGCGTGTTTTCTTGCTTCTATTTATGTTAATCTATATGTATATGTACTATAGGGTTATGATATTATTGAATTACATTACATGTATATAATTATATTGTATATATTACCTGTTAACTGTAATTTTATTACAGAGTGTACATTTTTTACTTATTTAAACTAAATTATTTTACCTACCTGTTTCTGTTTATTATAAGACAGTGGTGACTGGTTGGTAAATGAAGTGAATTTTGTTTTAAACTTTAAATCAGAAAAAAAAAACAAAATAATAATAAAAATAAATAAATTGTAAAAAAAATAACAGAAATGTAAAAAAAAAATATTTTTATAACAGCAACATTATAAAGAGAAACAGACAAAAAAAAAATAAAATTGAAGTTAAAAAAGAGAAAAAACAAAACAGAAACCAAAAAAACTATTTTCAATTAGTAAGTGACGAGAATTCAAGCCGTAAAGTGGTGCGCGATTAAGGAGTCGCATGTTACAAAAAGAAGAAAAAAAAAATTTAATTTTTGATTTTTTTTTTAATTTTTGAATTATTTTTTTTGTATAACATTTTTCTCTTCTTTTTTTTTTTGTTTTTGAAAAATTTATATGTGTTTTGCCGTTTGTATTGTTTTGGTGTTTTTGAAAACAAAAATTTTTCATATTTAAGAAAAAGTGATCGCTAAAAATAAAGAAAAGAAGTAAAATTTTTTATATACAGAAAAAAAAATAATAGAAAAGGAAAGAAAACGCAAGATACTTAAGAAAAGAAAAAAAAGGGTCAAACAAAAATTTTTAAAGGAAAACAAAAAAAAAGTGTGTTAAAAGTTTAAAATTATTTTTAAATTTTTATTTTTTTTTTATTTTAAACTTTTACAGTAATTTTACTTAAATTTAATATTTTTATTAATAAGTTGAACCTTTCTTATATTTACACATACACACACACATACTTACATAATATTATAATTTTTTTTTTAACTTGTTTCTTGACTACAATAAAAAATTTTATAGGCTCTTTGCAAGCAAATCTTTTTTGTAATGCAAAAATATTTTTTAACACCTTATATAAAAATATGAAAAAAGAAAAAAACACCGTAGCACTTAGGTAGTTTTAAATTTTTTTTTAACAGTTAGGAAGTTAATCTACCTTTTTCTTAGTTAGATTTATTATTTATTTATTTTGTTTTTTTTTTTTCGGTGTCTTGTTTTCGGCTTTTAACTTTTAACTATATTATGCCGTTTCTTTGGTAACAGTAATTAAAAAATCATAAAAATTTTATAGGCAATATGCACATACATATGTACTCGTATATACATACATAAATACACTTGTTCACTTTAAATATCGAATATTTTCGAATTTTAGTATCGAAATATTTTAATATTTTTCGAATAATTCAAAGCGAATTTTGAAATTTTAATTCGGCTTTTGTTTTATATATATAATACTTAATCACACATTATATTATAATAATAAATGATTATAATATTATTTATAAGTACATACTTACATAAATATATTTACTTAAATATGTCGATGGGTCAAATCAGTAGCGATACATTATACGTACAATGTACATGTACGTATTTGGCAAAATTTAGTTTTTGAAAAAAAATATTTTAGCATTTTGAATTTTTTGAATAATAGAAACAATTTTTTTGTTTTAGGTCCAAAAACATTTTAAAAATTCAGAAACCAAATTATATAAACTACAATTAAGATTTTATATAACGTAATCATACATTGTTTGTAGGACTTTTCTTCGATTTCACGGAAATTTAATGAAATATTTAAATAAAACATTGCCCAATTCTCATAAATCAGAATTCTTGTAAATTTTTCCATATTTTGTTGATCTAATCTAGCGTTTACAAAAGTAGGTAAGTTAATGGTAAAAATTCATATATTTGATATTAATTTCTTTTTTGAAAATATAATAAAAACGTTATCGTTTTCATATATTACTATTTTTTTGCTGTAATAACTTGCATATGTAAACAGTCGATAATATTTGCCGGTGTGGAGTAGTTACTGTTTTCATTATAGGTATACAAACTTAATTATTAGACAAAATCAAATATTTCGTATGAATCGAAAGAAAGCCGTATATATATAAATACTATTTGACATGAAACTTTTGTATGGCGACAACTCAGTAAATTTACTGTAAGATTTTTTTTTGTAAATAAAATGACACCCATTTTGCGGGAATATTTTGCGCAGCGATCTATTAAATTTTATTTTAGTTATAATTTCTGCAGTAAATTACTAAATTTTGAGCTTCATTACAGATAATTTCAATCTGGTATGTCATTAGGCTTTCTCGTACATTTGATCTTAAATTTTTGTATATGCATGTAAGCGGCACCTTACAGAGCATGACGGTCGAAAATTTCGATATAATTTTTGAAAATATTAAAAAAAAAAGATTCTCGGATTGTCTTATTAAGTATGTAGATCTGTTAATATTGTCTTATTCTCGGATTTAATTATGTTAATATTGTATAATTTTATATTAGAGAATATTATAAGACAAAAAAAATACATAGCTAATTTGATATTAAATAAAATTTTATTAATAATTAATAATAACAATATTTAATTATAATACATATAATAAATTTGAAGAGGAACAACAATATTTTATTGTAATTTTAAAAGACCAAAATATAATAAAATAAAAAAACCAAATAAATAACAAATAAAAGAAAAAAATTTTAATATTTGCATAAATATTTGAAAAAAAAAATGAAAATAAAAAAATTAATAAAATAATTTAAAATTCGCAGCGTGTAGGTACTGCTGTGCTTGCTAGTTCTTCTATATTTCTTCTTTATTTTGCTATACATATACATACTAACATACATGAATACAAAATTCTTCTTTGGCCTTTTTCTTTTCAAAACTCTATACAAGTGCCTATAATTTATGAAGAAATTTTATAACCGTTTTTATACCTTATGTCTATGTTATCATGTATGTGTATGTACTATGTAGTTATAAGTATACAAGAAAGAAAAATCAAACATATTAAAAAATCTAATTAAATATAGCTACATATAATATGTATAAGTATATTGCTTATCTCTTGTTATAAGTTCATATATTGGTTTTTACATTTTTATGCACACAATATTATCATTATATATTATAACACTATAGTTTCATCGAACTATGTCCAAATGTATATAAAAGTATAACAAATTCATATTAATATGATAAAAGTATAAGTATGTTGTGTATAACAAATGCTATAAATTGATATATGCATATTTTAATATAACTTTTATATAGTCAATTATTCCTATATAACAGTTTACATATAATATTATATATGTATATATATGAATATTATATGAATGCACATGTTATATTCAACTTCATTTTTATTCTAGTTATACAATTTTATTTTTATTTTTTTATTTGCAAAAATTCCTAACTTCCTTTGTCGCTTTGTCAATGGCAGTTGGATAGAAAAAATATTTTTTTTCTTTCAGTTTTTTTCTTCATATAACAACTGTGCATATACATCCATGCATATACATATATATATATTAGTACCTTGCATAAAAATTATATACTTATAGAAATACTTAAGTGTTATACAATAAAATACTTTATAAGTAATAGTTTTGATATGTTTAAATTTAAATAGTTTTTATGCATTTCATATGTACAAAAAGTTTGTTATAAAAATGAAACTTTGGTAAGATACGTATACTTAAATAATATGTATATCATCTATACTTAATTGCAATATAGTTTACGGGTTGAAACTGTATAACCGATCGAAACTGACATGAAATAAACCACTTATTTGGTGAAATAATAGTAATGTTAGAAATAAGAGACCCTAATGTTAAGTAATCACAAATATTGTGTTATCTATTAAGTAATTGTGAATTACTTAACATTAGGTTCTATACATAAGAGCCATACTAAATTATTTGATTAAAATGACTAAAATTTAATAAATTGGCTTATTTGAAAAGAAATTTAGTTGCAAGTATTATATTAAGTTAAAATACAGAAATTTGTCACATTTTTGAAATATTGAAACTTATTTTATTTACTTACATCAATATTGGATTCCTCTTTCTAAACTTTTTAATAAAATATGCAGTTTTCATGTATATCTAATGAGAATACCTCTGGTTCACACTTAGTTTGATTCTCGTACACTATTTTATTATTATGTATTTAACATCTTCAAATGTTACTTATATTTTCAGTAGTTTTAAGAGAACGTATCGAAATTGCAGAAAATTTTAAAAATACTTAGTCCGAATTGGGCTTGTATTAGTTCGATTTAGGCAGATGCTGTATCAGCTGAGACTATACTTAAATTTAATGAAATATCCGAACTCTTCCTCGTTGAGCAAGTTCTATATAAAATAAAATTGAAGAAAATTACAGTTACTTACAGAGCAATTACAACTTAACTACAGATTGAATATTAAAAAATCAATATTGTTTTATAATTTAAATATTTTTTTAGTAAGTTTATTCATTAAAAATTAATTGGAATTCATAATTAGAAAAAAAAAACTACTCCTCATATACTTTTAATTAAAAGTGAGTAAATCAATAAAAGAAAAAAAAATTCAATTCATTTCATTGCATTTTAGTTTATTACCTATATGAATTTCTTTAATTGTGTTTCCTTTAAATCTAAAGTTAAATTTCAGGTGAAAATAAAAGTTTTTCTTACAATTTACAAGACGACATTGTATTCGGTAATGTTGTATGACTACATGGTCTAATAATGGAACTTATTACTATAAAGATGAGTATATATATATGGTAGTAAAAAAATAAGAAAAGCAATATCAGCATAGACAATAATTTATAATGTTGTAGAATTTTCATAATACTTTTAGTTATATACATATGCTAAATTTAGAATTTTTGAGAAAATGGACAGTAATGCTTCCAATGCTCCGTCTAATCACATTCCTTGTAAAATAACGAAATTTATTTAGTATTTTGTGCAGTTTTTGAATCCTTACAAAGACAAATTAATTGCAAAATTTTTAAAAAATTTCTGAGAAATATTCAATTGAAAAAGAAATAATTATTATCTCATTACATATACTAAACCCAAAATAAATACTGGAAATACTAAATATACTTATTTGTGTTTAATTCAATTATAATTAATATGAAGAATAGAATTCATTTCAATAAAGTACAGTACAGAATTAATAGGCTATTTAATTATTAGTTAACAATAATTATTATAATTACTCTTCAATAACTTACTTACTTAAGTAAGTACTAGGGGTTATTTCTACTTATTAGAAAAAAGTAAATAACAACAAATATCTGCAAGAAACTAAGTATATATTTTAAGAACTAGCTAAAATACAAATAATATTAAATAATTTTAAGTAAGTAAATACTTAAAATTTTTTTAATATTAAAAAACATTTAAATTTAACAAGTAGGTATAACTATAAAGTAAACACAAATATTTAATTGTAAATAAAAAATAATTAAAATAAATAAATTCAAGAATTATTTATTTTTTTTATTTTAATTTTATTAAATAATTTTCATTTTAACACTTTATACCTTATTTAAATAACAATAAATAAATTACTTATTTATTTTGTCGTATAACACTTTATTATTAATAACAGATCATAGGTTATTTTATAAAAATATAACACCAGTATATATAGAAGAGAAAAAAAAATATGATTTAAATTTTTTATTTATTTAAGAAATTCTTCAAAAGTGATTAATAAAAAAAATTTCGATTATATTAAACTATTATCATAACTTATATTATTAACAGATTTAAATATTTATAATCATAAGCTAAAATAACAGTTAATAATAAAAGATTAATAACAGTATAAAGAAGATAAACAGTCAATCTCTACATATAAATAACATATCTAATATACTTCTAAAAAAAAATACCTAAAGCAAAGTACAGACGTACCTACTTTACATATTTTGTTTTATTTAAAAGAAACCATTCTCCAATCCAATAATAATTAAGAAAAATTATTTTGATTTTGGTTTTTAATAACAGTCAATAGCAGTAACAGTAACAGCAGCATAATTATCAATATATTCTCATTATAATAACAGTGGTGAAAATAGCATTAACATTTTATTAAATTTTATCAGCCAATATAAAAGTGAGAGAAAATTAAAAGTGCTCGCTGAGATTAATAATAATTTACATACACAACATTTCTATTATTAAAAAGGTAAGTTATTTTTTTTTTCTTATATTTTTATAAAAAAAATTTCTTTAACTTGCTTTGTTTTGCTCTCTAAAATTGTATTTTTTTGTTTCTTTATTTTTTTTTTCTTTTACAAAATATTTTCTGCATTTTTAACATTTTTACCTTTAAGCGTAAGCAAACCGCCAGACCAAAGCAAAGCCATCAGATTCAGAAAATCAAAAACAAAAATTTTACTCTTTTTGCTTTTATTTTTTGCATATTATTTTGTTAAGCAATTTTTACTCTCATTCTTATTTTTTCTCATTTTCGCTTTGTCTTCTTACTGGAATTTGAATATTTTTTAACATTTTTTTTTTTAATTTCAAGTGTTTAATTTAAAAATGAAATTTTATAATTACTTTGAGAGCTAATATATTTTTTCAATATTTTCTTTTTAATTACGTATCATTAGAGAATTGAGTTACCGTAATATTAATTCGTACCTAAATAATAGGTACGAATAGAAAAGTTGGACTTGAAGAAGATATTAATAGTAATTGATATTAAAATAACAGGCTGAAAATATCATTATAAAAGAACTATAACTGATCGAGTAATAGACTGTTAATAAGATGTTATACAAATGTCTTCGGCTTAACACAATAACATAACAAGAAATTTTAATTTACTGTTGGCGAATGGAGATAGCGTTATACTTAGTAGTAAAAAGTATTAATAATAACTATTGATGTTTTTTGCAGTAATTTTCTCTTTCACCTTCTCTCCAGTTAACTCATCATATTTTTGCAAAATAGTTTTAATTTATATTCTCATCTAATGTCTCTTAACATCATCTCTTATTATAGTGTTCACAAATCACACCATTTTATCTACTTACTTATACATAATATTAAAATCATTTAAAATAAGTATTAGAAATCATTTACAATCATCAGACTAAATCGTTCCCCCTACATGGGCAATATGAGTGAAACACCGTTGAATGTTTATATTTATTAAAAATATTAAAATCTTTATACTTAATTGCGATAAATATTTTTGGCACAGGATTAAAATATGCATAAAGGTATACTTACACTGTTAGCGGCTAATTTCTTTACTCCTATTAGTAGTGTAATGACTGCTCTAATCGGAAATTTCAAATACATGTATGTATACTTATAAGTTTTATGCTTTTTAAGAAATTTTAAAAACAAAATGGTTAATAATCAGTATGTCATATTACTTAAGTACTTAATAATTAATTTGTTAACAAGAAACATTTCTAAGGTCGTAAAGTGTTTATTGTTTTTACATGATTCCTCATCTCTAAGCATAGATTACAATTTTCATTTCCTAAGTAAGGCGATCATAACCGATGAGAAATATTAAGAAATTCGAACAAATACAGTGCACGTATTAGTAGATGTTCGAAAATTATCTATACCGGACAATGTGTAGTGTATACTTTTATATACTTTCACTTACTACTTCGAATAGATGCTTTTCCAAAGTCATATGAATTTCTTTTATTTTTGTACATCCTCTTTTGAGCACGTGTACACCATTTCTCTGCTACATTATTTCATATTAACATAACATCGTCAAAATCGTTATCGTAATTGTTACCAGTTCTCAATGCGAATAAGTACTTGCAAATAATTTGATAGATTGAAATATTAAATTGAATATGGGTCAAAAAAATGTTTTAATTTCAATCTTACCTGTTGTATACGAGTTTAATTTAAATTATTTTTCCCGTAAAAAAAAGAAAACTTTTGATAATTGAGTGAGTATAAAAAAAAATTAATCAAAATTTCGTTCGTACTGATTTTTTTTCTCCATTTTTCTGATATTCTCAATTTTTATTTCAATTTCCATCCATCCATCCATCCAACCAACCATAGTGAAATTAACATTTCATTTTTATTTAACATTTTTCTGCTCATGTAGAATTACAAGTTTTTTTTTCTTTGTTTTTTGCTTTTTAACGTGTTCCCAGGTACATAAATATACTTTTTTTTTTAATTTTTTGGACAAGAATTTACAGTTATACTATTTTGTTGCGTGTAAGACCAGTTTTGCATAAATGCGAATTCCTCAATCCTCCTCATTACAACAAAAACAATATTAAAAAAATTTATTAAGTGAAGTGAAGAGGTGAGATTTTTTAAAATTATAATTTTTCTTTTTTTTTTTGCTCATTACTGTTAAATAAAAATAAGTATGTTGGACGTTTGTAAGAGGCAGGAGAAAAAGGGAGGGGGTGTGGGTTTAAAATAATAAAATCGCTCCAGTTTTTCATTTTTGTTATTTTTTCAGTTACTTATAATTTTTGATTTTTTACTTATTTTCTTTTTTTTTACATATTTAAATATGAATGTACAAACATACAGTTAGCGGGTAATAATTGTGTGAAATAAATACTTTTGTTTGATATTTTTGCTCATTTATATCTACTGTACAAACATCTATACAATTAAATGTAATTGTATGCTTTTTATTGGTTATAAAGCAAAAGTTAAGTGTAAAAAAAAAATGTGAAATTATTGAAGTGAAATTATAATGAGTTTGAATTTTTTTTTTGTTAACTTTTACTACTTTTTGTCAATTCGGTTTTAGGAAAATTTTGAATAAGATTTGCAAAAATTTTTAGTAAAAGTAATTGTTAAATTTTACATTAATTACCTTACCAGTTAAGTATAATTTTCCAAAATATTATTTTTGTGTTATATTAATTAAAGTAATGTAATAAAGAATTGTGTACTCCGAGGTAATTGTTTTAAGAGTTTACGTGTACGTAAGCAATCATATTAGATTTGCTATCCATCGTATTTCTTTAAAGATGCCGTGTATTACATTAACCATATCCTGTATATCGGGAACTATAGGCAAAAGAATAACCTATATATGTATATCTGTGAGTAAGAAAGGGTTTTTGCCCGCAATTCAAATATTCAAATTTTGTCCTCACCTTTTGAAGTAAAAGGAAGCGAAAAATTAAATAAATAAAACAAAACAGAGTTGAGGGAAAGAAAAATATTTCAATCGGAATACTTCGTAATACAAAATATTACGCATTTTTTTTGTTAGTCTAATAAATATGTCATTAAACTATATGTAACTAAGTACTTAATAATTAAGTGTACAATAAGATTTAATAATTCTACATTTTTTTAGAATATTTTGTAAATTTTGCATTTATATTCAACCTTAAATATAATATTAATGATATAATGACGTAAATTAAGATTTTTCATATTTTAGTTCAAGTTACATTGTAATTACTACCGTTTAGTGTACATTACTGTATAATGCTTTTCTATGTAGATTCGAATATATCCATGAGCACAATTTTCAATAACTTACTTATCTAGTTTCACACAAAAATGTAGGTACACAGACAATTAAGTATTTTTCTTTTGTTTTATTATTATTTTTTTAATTCATAACCTTTAAATAATGATTTTATCAAAGTTGAATGGACGCTTAAATAATTCCAAAAATACTAGCTAAAATATCATATTTCTCATAAATTTTGAATTATTTGCATACTTATCTCTTTATTTTGTTTCAATGAGACAAAAATATAAGTAATGCTATAAAACTGACAAAAAAACAAAAAAAGAAAATAATTTAGTATTCAAATTATACTTTAAATTCATTGTAATCTTACTTACTTAGTAAAAAATTTAATCAATTTTTCCTTCACTAAGTTTTATTTATATCTTAAAAATTTGCTATCAGAGAAGATACCAAAAAAAGCAAAAATTTTAATATTTAAAAAGTATATGTATGTATACTTATTTTGACATATTTGTATTATTAGTATGTTTCGTACAGAAACCCGTCGGTAAGCGCGTAATTAATTCTTCGCTTATTAAATAAGTTAAGCAATTTTGACGGTATGGCATCGAATATGTTTGGTGTTACGCAATTTCAAATTCAATCAATCAATATTATATAAAAGTTTCACTTTTATTGCCAGAAAATTCGGAAATGCTTTCACAAATTATGTATGTAGATAGAAGTATGATTTACTGAGAAAGCTAGTTTACTTAAGCAATTCGATTTACAAAATATTAAATAAATTGAATCATTTATTGCAAACTTATAACGATTAGATTTTTGAAACAACAACGCCTTCATCAATTTTCGTATTATTTACATGACAATCGGATTTTTTCGCGATTTATCCGAAACGTTGTACAATCCAAACGTGTTGCTATTAAAAGCGATGCCTGTTAAACAACGTTCTGCTTTAGCAAATCTTAAAGTAATTTTAATAAAAAACTAAAAAAAAATTTTCAAAAATTTAAAAAATAAAACAATATGCAAATAAAAAATAAATCTTAAAAAACAAAAAATTCATTCTACCCACGAAAAAGCCGCCAAAATGACAAAACGGAAAAACAATAATAATAATAACATCTCATTAAAATAAAATTTGTAAACGGGTCGTATAACATTTACAGTATAGATTAATAAAATAACATTTTGTTTACGTATGGTTGAGTGCAAGAAAACTCTGTCGGTCACATAATTTTTTCTTCTCTTTCTTTTTATTATTATTACTTATTAGTTATATAGTCAAATAAAATTAAAAATATCAAAAATATTACTTATAATATTATAGACAAGGACATTTTCAAAAATTATTGTATAAATTTTTAATAATAATGATTTTAAGAATAAAATAAATATTAACCTGACCGAAAGAAAGAAAAGAATAATAAAAATGAAACGAAAATATTATAGACTCATAAAGTACTTTTTTAAAATTTTATAGTATGGATGACGTTTTACACGACAACGGTAACGTTATGACGGCATATTACTGCAAAAAAAAATAACTTATTATTGTGATTGACAACAAATACAACAAAAACAATATACGATGACAAGAAAACAATAATAGATGACAGTGATGATGATGACGGACGGCGGCGACAACAATGCAAGATATTATTTTTTATTTACTTCTTATTTTTTTGGTTTTTTAATACTTGCCTTAAATTGGTCATACTTTAAAAATTTAAAGT